GAAGAGAGAGAGAGAGAGAGAGAGAGAGAGGAAGGACGATTGTTTCTTTTCTTTTTTTTTTATTCATTGTTACATTTCTCGAGAGTTACACTTCTTGATCGCTATCGTTTTTTTTTTTTTTTTTTTTAAAGTAACAAATGTCTCTCGAAGGCGGCACGAACGGCGTATAACAGATATCGATCTCGCGACAGAAACAGCCTCAAGTGTTCGACGTCGTCGCCATCGTGTTGCGGGAATAGAGCACGAACAAGATGGAATTGATGTGTATCAATGTGCGAGGAGTAAGGTGGAATTATTGATGGAGGGAGAGAAAGGTTATTTTGTGTTATTCAATTTTGAAAGACCGAGGTTGGAATTGAGAAAGAAAAGAAATAGGAGGCAGTGTGAATTTTAGAGGGGACAACACATTTGGACGAGAAGCAAGAAGCTTTCAGTTACGTGTTGATCATGGTCGTCGAGTTTTATTTCGTTGCGAAATAAAGTGATGATTGGATAATCTTAACGTGTATCGTTATAAAAACTTTTTTTACATTATATTTTATGAATTTTTAATTGTAATTTGTTGTTTTTCCATTGCGAACAATTTAATCATTGTAACAAATCTTTCAGAATGAAAGATAAAAATGCAAATAAAAATGAAATTAATGGAACGATACGAATAAAAGAAATCATTCTTAATTAGAATACAATATTTGTAATCTTTTATTCGAGCGAACGAATTGCGAATATTGTTGATTTACTTTCAACTTTTTTTAACCTTGGAACAAGCTTAGAGAATTTAATTGCTGGAAAATAGTCGGACAAAGAAAGGATTCTAGATTAAAACCACAGCAAAGATTGAAGGTAAAATAATTGTTATCGAAAGAATGAGCAGACGTAACACAAGGTTAATTAATTTCCATCGTGGAAATGAATCAAGAAATAGTGTTCTTTGAATGCATAAAAATACGCAATCGGTATACAGAAACGATTTACATGAAAATTTGTAATTTTTGCACATTTATTGTAATTACTGTAATGATCCATGATTTTTCATTCAAATTGTATATAGATACATAACAAAATATTATTAAAAGTTCGAATTATTTTATATTATTCACAATTATTCATATAAGAGAATATTTAACGAAATTAAATATTTAATCAAAGTCAACAGTTGATGCTGATCCAATGTTGATCAATGCGTATTGAAACGAGTGTGGAAAGTGACACAGGATTCTGATTTCACTTTCGCAAAGTTTGCGATGAAATGAGCAAGTTTTTAATGAGGAAACTTTCCCCAGGAATTTCACGACATCGATTTAAAGCCATTCGAGTTAAAATTTCTTGCATCGTTCTGGAAAATTTACAAATTTCGACAACTTCCATGAATTTAGAATGACTTCTATTTTTATTTTAAACAAAGAATATTCTAATCCCATTGCGCGAGTTATCATTCGAGCAAGTTGGAGAATGCTGCTTGTAATACAATTCGTTACAATTCGAAATCCCGTGATCCAAGGATTCCATACACTCTACTTTCCATAAATCGAGAGTATTGATTCACGCAACCACCGATTATTCGATTATTCCATTTAATTTATACGATCCCTTCCCTCGAAACGAGATATTAAAATAATCGTAATTAAATGTATCTCGAAATTATTCATATCTGCAATTGTTTGTACAACGATAAAGTAACGAGAGAAATCATTCGAGACGACCATGATCAAGGGCAAAGACACGACGACACCGGGACGACGACGTCGAGGACGAGGACGATGGACGAATGGCCGAGATAATGGCCACCGTCGTCACCGTCGGTTGTCCATTTTCACGAATATGGACGGCCAGGACAACGCGTGTCCCGTATACGTGTACATATCCATATATGCATGAGGAACGTTGCCCAGGTTAATGGACAATTGATTACGTACCAGCTCGGAGACCAATGGCACCGATTTTCGGCGCGGTCGAATGTCCGGCATACTGTCGATGTTGCTGTAGAAAGGATTGTCCCCCGGATGCCTGCAAGAAAATTTCATAACATTGAAAACATTTACGTGAAACATTTTGATTGAAATTTTGTTTCGAGACGAGTTGTAATCCGAACGATTGCAAAAATGAAATCGGTGATCGAGATTGGATTAGTAGAATTTTGAAATTTAAAATGAAATTATTAGCACGTAGATTTTATTATAGTGATTGAAAGTTTATTATATATTATACTCTTAGAATTGAAATTGAATTAATTTTGATATTTGAGATAACAAGAGACACGTTATCCGAACGATTGCAAAAATGAAATCGATTTTGATAAAATGGGAAATAATGAAATTATTAATAATTATTAGTAGATTTTATAATAATTGAAAGTTGATAATTATATTCTTAGAATTGAAATTGAATTAATTTTGATATTTGAGATAACAAGAGACACGTTATATTTTATTTACAAAAATGAATCATAAAATATTTATTTAAATACGAATTCATTATTATTCAAATAGATTGTTATTCAAGCGGGAATAAAAAAGCTTTATTGAAATATCGATGAATGGAAAATTCGTTCTTCGTTTTAAGAATCCTTTTTTTTATTAAACCTATTCAAACTTCTACTCGTTTGATTCATTGATTTTATAACGATTGATACAGGGAAGGAACGATTGCGTGACAATAAATATCTGATCTCTAATAAATCGTCGCCGAATTAGGCGGACGAATCAGATTAGGAAGTAATCGAACTTTTCGATTAAATGGAGAATTTCGTCACTGAAGGCGAGCCACTTAACCGATCAGAACTTTTAAGGAACCCTTAACTCGCCTCCTACTTATCCGATCCTCTTTTCTCATTATCATCAGAGAAGGCTTTTCAACCTTTTATCGAAGTGAATTCCGGAAATTAATGGAATAATTCTTTGTATCAAAAGAATTTGAGGAGAGATTGATATCGAGCAAGAAACTATCAATTATAATTAAGAATATCAAAGGGTTATATAAATGGAGGATTCAATATCAATTACGAGTTCGCGATATATACCTTAAGAATCGTTTCATTATTATAATTTGATCAATTAATTAAGCCACTACTTTCACTTTCACGTAAGAAATAGATCCTTGAATTTTCAACTTTTACAAAAGTGATTGGCTTCTCTATTGTACTACTCTCCAATTATAATTAAGAGAGTGTTGTAGATTGAAAAGATTTTTCCATCTGATTACAAACACGAAAACTGGTATTTTGGTAGCAATTAAGATTTATCGTTTCAACTTAAACCATGACCTAAATTCGCAAGTTCCTATTTAATTATATCGATTTCGTTGGGAAATTCAACCAAATTAGATGGCTTCTTTAAGCAAGGTATAATATAATCTGTCACTTTGAAACCGTTTCTTTTAAACCGTCTCTCTTTTCTCCTTTCTTCTCCTTTCCTTTTCCCTTCACTTTTTCATTCAGAAAAACACGCAAGCCTTTACACCAAGTACACTCAAATTTCAATTAACGTTAATTCCAATTCGAGGAAGAAATCTGTTCCTCAAATTTCTCCAGATAATTATCGCAACAAGAGTTCTTTAAAATATTAAAATCACTTTTATGTGTATTTAATTTTATATAGTAAGTTCATAAAGGAATAAATAGTGTGTTGTAAATATATTATTTTATAAAATCTCAACAATCAAGTGATTAAATTCATAATATTGAAAATTTTCTTAAATAATAATTATTGAATTATTTTTTTTTATATAATAATTTTAAAAGTTTTTCTAAATTACAATGACCATTATAACAATACTTGTTTTATCTCAAATTTTGCATAATTTAATTTTTATTTTTCCAAAGTTTATAATTATAACTGCTGCAATCACCATTTTGATTTTCTTACGACTTTTTAATCGACGATCAAGGCTCCTCGAGGTTCGTTAATTTTTTCTTCCTTTTTTGAAAGATTGAAGGGGTAATCCCCCATCAAATCCATGAAAACGACTTGCAGCAATTTAATTATCGGGCAATAAATTTCCTATATACGCGAGCAGCGAAGAATCGATCGCTATTATACCAGTTTAATCAGCAATTCCACGTGCTCTAAATGCACTAAATCGACTAAACGTTGAACAAAGAGATAGTCGACTTTTACGACAAGAGTATCAATTGAGAGTTCTTTCCTTTCAACCCTGACACGCACAGAAAGAAACAGACCAACCTGATGCAGAAATCGAAAATTTGTAATTAATTTTTTTAGGAAATCGAATCAGAGAACTGATTGCAACTACTGAAATAAAATAAATAATTCTATGGGTAACGTAATATTTTTTAAAATTTGATTCAAATCAATTCAAACGAATTAATTGCGCCAATGAAAATAAATAAGTTTTCTCTAAGAAATACTTATTATGGAAATATTGGTTTTGAAATAATTAATCTTAAAAATCTCGTGAGAGAAGAGCAATAGATAAATTTCGTGGTTTTTCTTTTGGAGGCGATATCTTGGCGAAAGAAATCGAAGAGAGAAATTGTCTCTGAACTGAGATTATCGATTACGCCGGAAGCCAGAGGTCGGAATTGCAACAATTAAGTGGCACTTTCAACGTTGACCCCCTTTAAGAGGGTCGATTTCACTCGGTGAACATCTTGGTTTTTATGTCAACCGGTGTCTAGATCAAGAGCTTAGCTTTGTTGTATCAAATGGACAAAGAAAAGGATATCGTTCTTGGTGAATGGAATAGCCGATGGAACGGTTTCTTTGTTTGTGATTGGAAATATTTGTAATTCGTAATGAATCGATAAGAGTAATCGAGAGAATTTTTAAAAAGAAGAATTTTAAAAAGATGAATCGATACTTTCTTTATTGTTATAAGCTAAAAACTATAAATGGAAGAAATCAAATCATTTTACGTTTCGTTTTACGTTAATCTGAAAAAGCCTGCCTACAATTTTCCTGTCAACGGAAAGAATTTTGATAGAAACGTATCGACAGGATATTTTTATATAACATCGATTTCTTTCCCGACCAAATGAGAAATGAAAGTCGTGGAATTTTATCTCCCAGAGAATTTCCACCAATATCTCTGCCAACGAATTGTCTTCGAATTCTTTCCATCGAATCCACCCTTACGTCTCACGTTCACGAAAAAGGGGGAGGAGAGGAGAATTTCGAAATCTTCTCAAGACGAGACCGTACGATGCGAACTATGAATGTAAGATTCACAGTTATTCCCTAAGCAAAAATTCCCTCCCCCTTACTTTCCCTTCGTTTTTATATCTCATTTTCCCATATATATCATTCTACTTGAATTCCTCGAAACTCCTTCCAATGATCTACCTTGGAAAATGCAATTTTCCAAGTTCCAAAGTGAAAGTTTCTTTTCGAAAACTTGTGTAACTTCCGATATAATAATCTCGCGCGTTTTCATACGTAATTTTTATTTTCTACACATCCAATGCGATAAAAATAAAAATGCAGAATAAATTTTGGACCATCTATTTTTCTAATCTAATCAAATTAAAATTCAACTACCGCAAGAAGGAGACCATCATTGTATGTCTTTTAGTCGACAAAAATTAAAAGAAAAAAGAAATAAAAAAGTATTCCAAACATATACACATACACGGAAAAAGTGCATTTTAGAAGATATTTGCAGAGAAAGGGGTAAAAGTAAAAGTATTGTAATTACATTGATTGATCGGTATACTCACCCGTTGCCCCGTCCACCGGATTCGCCGCCAGTTCCGCTCCCGTTCTAACAACAAAAAAACAAGTTTATTAAGAAACAAGCCTAGTAACAGTTCGAAAAAACCAAGGGGAGGACGCGCGTTCGCGCGAACGACGGCGCAGGCGTACGAAAAAATATTGTACACAGTCTTTGGAAACGCGTGGCCATCGAAGAACGGAGAAAGAGAGCCTTTCCGAAAACAGGAGAAAGAAAAAAAAAAATGGAACGAAATTCAATCCGTTTCAACCTGTTTCTCTCGTTGACTCTCTCGTTTTCTCACTCTCCCTGTTGGTTCGAAAAACCATCGTGACAAGTGAATTGGCAAGTGGATCGACGCTTCTTCCCCCCTCGTTTTCCATGGCCACGCACGCACAATGCTTTGCCCTGTACACAAATCAGTCTCTTTTCGTCGACTTAAATGTAAAGAAAGCTCCGATGGAACAGAGAATCGAGCGTTGATCGGGGATCCGAGAGGAAGAGGGCGACCCTCCCTTCGAGTTTAGGGAGAAAAGGGAAGAGATCTCCACACGTTTCTTCCAACAGCAAGGATCGTCGGCTCGCACTGAGAAAAAAACCTTCGTTTCCTCCTCCATCGTTGTCCACGGATTAATCTCGTAAACTTGAAAACTTTCCTCGACTCTCCTTTTTCTCGTCCCTTTAAACAATCACCGCCCATCCTTAATTTCCTTCTTGCGGAACACGAACTCGCTGTGGACGATGCTCGTTAATCAAAAGTTGGTGGAACGATTCGAAGGATTTCCTTTTTCGAAACTCTTGCTAACGATCCCCCTTCCTTGCTTTCATCCTTGTCTCTCTCTTTCTCTCCAGCTCTCTTCATCCATCGATCGATGTTCGAGCCGCGACGATTTCTGATCCGTTTTCGAAAACGTTCAATCCCCAAATTCTAACCGCTTCTTCTTCCTCTCGAGCTTCCCTCCCCCCTCACCGTCTCTTCCCGCCACGTTTTGCACTTTGCTCGCCTGCGCCTCATCTGCCCATCCGTCTCGTTCGCCCGGTGTCGCACGGAGGAATGGAAGATTGGAGACAGTTGGTGTAACAGCCCGTATAAATATAATTATCACGTACAATACGTTTCGTAAATTCTGTCACGATAGAGATACGATATAAACTTATGGATAGCAAGTAACAAGTATATTTAGAGTTAGAGCCGCAGGTATTTTCTTCTTCTTCGTTCCGCTCTTTCTTATTCAACCACGTTCCTTTTCTCAGCTATTTACCTGTTTACTCCATTTACTGCCCTAATTCTCACTCACATTTCGCGTGAACAGTCTTTTCGCGGAAAAAGGGGGGTTTCTTTTCACCCTTAGAGAAGCTTATTTTTAGACAACACTGGAGCACGACGATTTTTTTATTTCTTTTTTTTTCTTTCCCTCTTCGTTTTCTCTCCTTTTTCTTCTTTTTCTTTCTTTCCTTTCTTTATTTTCGCGTTTGTTTGTCGTTCAACCACGAAGTTCAGCCACGCCCTCGAGCACGTCTTCTCTGAGAATCGCGAGAATCGTTTCGATTTCTTATTTTTTTTTTTTTATATAACGAGCGGAATCTGGTTTTTCGTCGAATGAAATGGAGAGAGTGTTTTTTTTTTTTGTCGTTGTAAAAAAGTCGAGTAGCAAAAATAGGAAGCGAATTTTAGAATTCTTTTCTCTTTCTTGAAATCTTGAACGGAACGAATTGGAGTTGGAGTATGGATGAAATTGAAATGGAATGAAATCGATGTGTCGCGTGCAAAATGTGCCTCGAGCCTTTGTGCTTCTCGCACAAGTTGGAATAAAAGATCGCGTAATAAAATTTTTCATAACGTGACGTGATGAAGCTTGAAATTAAACTGCTTTGTATCTTTTTGATTGACAGGGGAAAATTAACGGAGAATTTTCGTGGCAACAGAGTTTAAATATAAAATTTTTAGAGAAATTTCTGAAACTTATGCTTTATTAACAAAAAAAAAAAATTATCAAAAGAGATCATCTAAATCCACTAATTTCAATTTAACAAAAGATACAAAAAGAATTGATTTGTAATGTCACTTCTCCTTTCTTCGATACACAACAAATAAAATTCCAAAATATGCAATAATATTTCCAAACAATTTATCATCACGTCGACCTCTCTTTAACTATTTCAACGAGTCTCTCTCTCTCTCTCTCTCTCTCTCTCTCTCTCTCTCTCTACTACT